CCACAGATCGAAAATATTTGAAAAAACAAAAAATGACAATAGAACAAAACAACACAAGTTTTAAAAGTATAGCATAACCACTGTGTAGATAGATAGTGTTGACAGTGTTATTAGGTATTTTAAGCACCCTACAGGTGGGGGTGTGAAATCAATCTCCTGCAGACACCAGGGGATGCCTAAAGGTATATATTTCACAAGTATTTTCTCAGTGACATCATCACAGCTCACTGCAACCTCAAACTCCTCGGCGCAAATGATGTCCTGCCTCAGCCTCCCAAGTAGCTGGGACTACAGGTGTGCACCACCACGACCTGCTAATTTTTTTCTATTTTTTTTGTAGAGACTGGGTTCTCACTCTTGCTCAGGCTGGTCTTGAACTCCTGACCTCAAGCCATCCGCCCAGAGTGCTAGGATTATAGGTGTGAGCCACCGCACCTGGCCAGGTTTTCCCTAAATTGAACCTGCTAGTTTAAGGCAGTTTCCCGCGTGCAGAGCCTGGAGGGCAACTGAGCAAAAGCACACGTGCTCATAGCCACGCCCCTCTCCCTTACCTGAGTATGGTCCTCTTAGCGGGAAACACCACCGGGCTATGTTATAATATGCATGGCATTTATTAACACGGTTAACTTATTGTCCCTCCCCGCTGCAATCTGAGAAGGAAAAGAACTAGGATCTCTGCGCTCTGTTTACTGACTGGTTCCACCCAAGGCACAGCAACGAAATATGCCCAAACGTGAAAGTGCGAGCTAGGGCGCCATCTAGCGGCCGGGACGGAATATCACAAGGCATTCGTTAGAAAAGCCACCTGTAAAAAAATGCGTAAAACACGGCCCCATTTCTGGAATAAATAAAAGACACACAAGGAAGAAAAATTCCAACCATGGGAATATCTCCGTATAGGAGTGTGTCAGCGCGGAGACAGTGCCGCCTGGAGGAATCGAGCAGGTATTGCTTATTTTAGCATTTATTGTTTACCAGGGTAATGGGAGACCACGCCCCCAGCCTCTCCCCTGGGCCTGTTCGGGCCGTAGCCACGCCCAGGGGTGGATACCAGTGCAAACCACGCCGACAACGCCAATCTCGCGTCTGGCACGCCCTGGGGAGGCGGATCCGGCCACAAGGCCCAATCGCATCCTAGAGGGCGGGGGAACTACTTGCTTCCTGCTCATCGATTGGAGAACGAAGCATGCCCCGCCCATCTTTGAGGCATCACCAATCCTAAACCCCGGGCCGCCTCCTTTTTCCGCTCCTGGCAGACCCGGAAGCGGAAGCACAAGTACCAGTCCGAGGGCAGCGGTGGGTGTCGCCCTTACTGGCCGTATCGCCTCCTGAGGGCGGTTCCTCCTCTGTCTATCTCTGGACCTGGCCCCGCGTCTCTTCGGTGACCCGGGCTAAGCCTGGGGCGGGCGGGGCTGGGGGTGGGTGGGTCAAAGGACAGTGGCGGAGTTCAAAGGGCAGGGGTCAGGCTCTTTCTAATGGCGGATTCCAGGTGCGCGCCCGAGGAAGATGTCTCCGGAGGCCAGTGGAACCGGGGGAGGCCTCAGGGGGTCTTTTTTGGGGGCGCGGGACGTTTTGGCCCCCTAGACCTTGGGACCTGCGGCGGTCCCACTGTAAGATTTGCTAGGGTTTAGGTGAAATTTGAATGCAGTGTGGCTTCTATTGGCTCAGCAAGGCAGGACTGTGTGTAAAGGGGTCAGCCGCGGGTCTGGACTGCTAAATGAACTCAATTCCCGTTTCCTTGGGAACCACAGATAAGATAGCTGTGCGTTGTTGTGTCCGGAAACCCCCTTATCTGAGCCCTGCACCTGCGTTGGAAATGGAGACGGACCAGGCAAGGGAGAGAGGTTTCATTGTTAACTGATAAAATTTCTGCCACGGGCTCTGATTTTCCTGGGCAGAGTTTTTAGCGAGTTAGAAGACAGGAACAGCTCAGAGAAAGGTGTCCTTGGAGGAAATACTGTTTTTTGTTAATTTTACAGGTGGCATTATCTGAGTCTGTCCTCCCAGCCTGATAATGTCTGGGCAGATACTAATCATTCGGAGCTGATTTTTTTTTTTTTTTTGAAACAGAGTCTCACTTTGTTGCCCAGGCTAGAGTGAGTGCCGTGGCATTAGCCTGGCTCACAGCAACCTCAATCTCCGGGGCTCAGCGATTCTCCTGCCTCAGCCTCCCGAGTAGCTGGGACTACAGGCATGCGCCACCATGCCCGGCTAATTTTTTTGTATATATATTTTTAGTTGGTCAATTAATTTATTTCTATTTTTGGTAGAGACGGGGTCTCGCTCAGGCTGGTTTCGAACTCCTGACCTTGAGCAATCCGCCCGCCTCGGCCTCCCAAAGTGCTAGGATTACAGGCGTGAGCCACCACGCCGGGCCCGCAGCTGATTTTTACTGTCTCGCTCAGATCTTGTGCACGGAGGCTTTCTGCTCAGCTGGGCACCAGCCTTGGATTGGGGTGCTGGCCCAAAACCTTAATCAGCTCTCGGGCGTTATTAGGGAAGTTGTTTAAGCCTCTTAGTGCCTCAGTTTCCACAATTGTAAAGTACGTAAGGTAACCTGCATTTATCAAGTAGTGAGTTGATTACTATTGTGAGCTCAGCACCGCGACCAACATCCTCATAGAAACGCCTTAGAGCCGCAAAGGGCAGACGGTTATGACTGGTTATGACCGTGGGCTTTGGAGAAAAGACTCTCTAATATCAAATAAAGGGTGGAGAGCAGTGACAATGCCTGGAGATATTTTTGGTTCTTGCCACTGGCATCTAGTGAGCGCGGAGATCAGGGATGCTGCTCAACGCCCCACGAGGAACAGATCGGCTTCCCACCAGCTAGAATTATCCAAGGCTTTGAGAAACGCTGTACACGGCATAGAGTAGGTTCATTAGATAATTGACGTTATTATTGTGTTATTTGTCAATTTGCATGGAGGAATGACTTTCCAATCCCAGTTAATTCCTTAATCTTCTCAACAAGCAGTTAAACCATTTCCCAATTTGCTTTTTAATGAAAAAAACAAAGTATAGAAGTAACTTACAAAATTAAACATTTAGTCATATTTCCTGAACATATTTGTAAAACAGTAAGTAACAGCTATTTCTCATCCTCCCTGCCTGGAGGTAGCCGTTTTTTCTAATTTGACACGTAACCTTCTAGTCCATGTTTATATAGGGATTTTTTTTTAATGTGTGTGTGATGTTTTATGTGCTTTTAGAATTTTATTTCAAATATAGTTTTATTCTGATTCTAAATAAAAAGGAATGAGAATGATGGAAATAAAATTTCACCACTGAATATTGTGATGTGACTAACAGTCTCAAGGAGGAAACCACTGTGTTCAAAAACAGCTAAATATGCAGATCCAAACTATGAGGGTATTTTTATTTTTTTAGCTGCTGCATTCACTCCCAAGGCCATTTATCTCCTTCCACATCCCCCAGATGAAGCACATGTTCTGCTGAGCTGGATAACAAAGTGGCACACACACTGCACTGCTGACATCGCAGGACAGCTGCCTGTGAAACTGGGACTTCTGATATTGGGCTCTAGCTTCATCCTTACAGGGTATCATCCTTATCTGGGAGAGCAGTTGTCTGAGTAGCCTCTAAATCATGCTCATACTGCACTGTCAAAGCTGGGTCTGGGCAGGGCATGGTGACTCACACCTGTAATCCCAGCGGAGGCCCAGGCAGGCAGGGCGATCGCTTGAAACTTCGAAACCAGTATGGACAACATAGCGAGACCCCTCCATCTCTACAGAAAAATAGAAAAATTAGCTGGTGCCTGTCTGTAGTCCCAGCCTCCTCCCAGGAGGCTGAGGTAGGAGGATCGCTGAAGCCAGGAATTTGAGGCTGCAGTGAGCTTATTGAGCCGTGATGATAACACTGCACTCACTCTAGCTGAGGCAACAGAGCAAGACTCTTTTCTCAAAATAAATAAAAATAAAGAATTTTCAGGTCCAATTCCAAAATTATGTAAGCTTTTATTACTTTTTATTAAATCAGTTAAAATAAGAATTTGATTGCCTTAGGGGTATGACAGCCTTGTACATTTTAACATTTCTCTAGGGACACACACAAAAACGAAAGTAAAAATGTTGGTTTTTTTTCTAGTATCAAATATACAGGAGCATTTTAAAGAACACATCTCAGGTCTAGTGGCGTCCTTCCCCAGCCAGGGCTGCGGGCTCCCGTCTCCCCCGGGGCAGAGATTCGGGTCTCCAGCCCGGGCGCTCAGGCTGGGCGGGGCCTTCGCAGCGTGCGTGGTCCGACGTGGTGACGTCACGCCGAGGGTCTCCTCTGGGACGGGGAGCAGAGACCCCGGGACCCCACCGAACCCCAGGCCACTACGTCCCGCCCTGGCTCCTCCTGCCCCGGAAAAGTACGATGGGTGGGGAAAATGAGTCTGGAATTCCCGCCATTGTTTGGGAGGGGCCGCACCGAGCCAGACCGAGTTCGCCTGGATGTGAAGGTCCCCCGGGTGGGAGGGGTCAGCCACGGGCGTTCGCGACGCGCTTGTCACTCAGGCTTCAGGGGGCGGGGCCCAGAGAATTATCCAATCAGGGGAGACAGGGGCGGTGCCCAGGGGAACAATGAGGAGTGCTGGGGCGGGACTCAGAGACCTGTCCAATCAGAGACACGAAGTCGAAGTCTGGTGGAACTGCCCAATCAAGGGAGCTAGGGGTACGCGCGACTGGGTAGCTGCCCAATCAAGGGAGCTGACGCCCGCAGCACTTTCCAATGAGGGCTGCGCGGCCTCTAGCTCCTGTCCAGTGAGGCTCCGAGGGCGGCCGTTGCTGTGCCCGCGGCCCCGCGCCCCGCCTGCCGGAGCGACCCAGGTGTCCCGGTCCCTGGCGCTCTCACCCTCACGGGCCGCGGCGCCGCCCCGGCGCGCCCAGGAGCGAGCGAGACATGGTGAGTGTGCGGGGCCGGGGCGGGGCCGAGGGAGCGCGGGGACGGCCCCGGGAGGGCGGGGTGGGGGGTGGGCGCTGGGACCGCGGGCGACACGGTCACCGGGCCGGGCCGGGCCCTGGAGCCCGTCAGATAAAATCGGATCCGGGCTGGGGGGCACTTTATCAAAAAGGCTGTTGACTCAGGGACAAGCGTCAGTCTCGAGCCGTAGTACAATGGGGTTGGGGAACCGTTGCTATAGGGCAGAGGGGAAATGCAAGAGGGGTATGGGGACAGTTGATATTGGGCTGGGGTGGCAGGGAGACAACTTCAGCAGAGCACTCTGACCCAGTCTGCAAGCATCTGAGGAGCTGGTAAAAAGAGGTTTTCTTTTATGGAGGGGAGTGAATAACGGTAGAAAGAGCCAACTGTGGGGAGATGGAATGGAAGGCTGACACAATGGGATAGTAGATCCAAGAATGTTTCACCCCATGCCAGCCTGTTTTCAGCAGGGCTGCCACCTGGCCCAGGGTGGGGACATGCAGGGGGATGGAGGGAAGCTTAACCCAGAGCTGACTATAAGACAGTTTGTTCCTACGGATCAGTGGGGACAACCAGGTCGCCTAATCATTTCTGAGAAGAAGACTGGGGATTTGGAGGATCTGGGTCTGGCTTTGTCAACTGTGTGAGTCTTACCTAAGTTATATGGGAAGGGTGGGTCCTTGCAGTGTCCCATTCCAGAACACAGCAGGGTGGGGGGATTCCTTTAACCTTTGCTGTTTACCAGGAGGACAGGGCTCAAATAAAAGTCGACATTGTCACCTGACAGCTGTGACCAGCGATGTCTGTGTCCAGCCTCAGGTTTCAGTAAATGTAAAATAATGAATTCTTTTTACCTTTTTATTGTCCTTAATGAGGGTAGTAACCTTCTCTGGTGTGTCCCTTGCCTTTTGCTGCTACCTTGTGTTATTCGGGGGCTTAGCCTCAGAATGCTGCCATGGCAAAATGGCTCAAGTTCAGAAAAGTGAAGACATGGATTGAAGATTCGTGAAAACAATAATGACTGATGCAGGGTGCAGGATTTGTGACAGTGTGTGATCCTGTTCCATTTCCTGTTAGTATCTCGTCATCACAGATTAATGCACATTCTATAAAATGTAACCTTTAGTACTGACCAGTGACAATTCTGATTAGTTGATTTGCGGACAATTTGTTTATCATGAGCATAGGTGTTAACTGATACCTGTTTCCTGCTAGGGACCCTTAGTGGGATAAAAAGCCTTTTATCTCATTTGGAAGGGGTTGTAAAATTAAAAAAAAAAAAAGTCTTTAACTTTGAACACAGGCTGGAAGTAGTGATTCTGCTGCATTCTTATTTGGACCTTGGGTTTAAGGGACTTTGGCTTGAAGAGGGTGTAGCACGTGAAGTGGGAAACAGTTGGGCTTTGTACCATTTGTGTGTTCTTTGATGAACATTGCTTTCCAATGCAGATGTCCAGCTATTCTGATACTGCTAAGATTTTTGGTACAGATGGATGTTGAATAGGATAAACTGCTTGTTTGGGGGCATCCATTAAGATGATTTGACAGTTTTGATGTATTTTGACAAATTTTATTAGATGAGTTCATAGCATATCGTAAGCTAGAATACACATAGAATTTTCATAAGACAATTGCACAGTCAGCTGAAGCGTTCTGGAATGAACATTGTGTAGTGACAACCAGGCCAAGTCTTGGAAGAAGCTTTCACGTCAGATATCCCCTTTGACACGATAAGTAGTGGTTGGCCCCTCTCTCAAGATTAGGTCAATATACTGCATTATAAGGAGATAGTTTTCTTGCTTTTCTTCATAGTTTTATCACTTGTGTGTACATCAGTAAGTCAAGATATTTTGCATGTTTATTTTGTATGCAAATGGTACCATACTGTGTGTGTGTACTGCTGTATGTCAGATTTCTTTCTTTCTTTCTTTCTTTTTTTTAGATTTCAAGAACTTATTTTTTGTTTAGATGATCTGTGATTTATTTTTGATGATTGTTTGCTCTTCATGGGTATGGGTTCCTCCCATATTTCACTAAAGATACTGATTATGTGTGTTTTTTTCTGTTAAAGTCACTTGTGGCTATTTTACATAGCCACAGATAATTAAACAGCTCTGTCTGTGGTGCCACTTACCTTTAATTCTAGGCACTTGGTTATTTATTTGAGAGACCCTGCTGGCTTGACAGAATCTTCAGGAACCAGGTTCTATTTTTTTTTTTTTTTTTTTGAGACAGAGTCTCGCTTTGTTGCCCAGGCTAGAGTGAGTGCCATGGCGTCAGCCTACCTCACTACAACCTCAAACTCCTGGGCTTAAGCAATCCTCCTGCCTCAGCCTACTGAGTAACTAGGACTACAGGCACATGCCACCATGCCTGCTAAGTTTTTCTATATATATTAGTTGGCCAATTAATTTCTTTCTATTTATAGTAGAGACGGGGTTTTGCTCTTGCTCAGGCTGGTTTTGAACTCCTGAGCTCAAGCAATCCGCCCACCTCAGCCTCCCAGAGTGCTAGGATTACAGGCATGAGCCACCACGCCCGGCCAGGAACCAGGTTCTGTTCTTACCGAACAGGTGTTGCCAGACCCCAGAGCCCAGGTCTGCCTCTCTGTCCCTAGTGTCCACAGCCTCCTGCAGGGAGACCATGTTTCAGGTTGCATGCGATGAGCCCAGACCAGATTCATTGACTCTGTTGCCTTCTGAGATAGGAGTTCAAATCAAAGCAGCGTTGGAAATCCACCCTAAGAATTTGCAACATCCTGACCTTCTTGTACCAGTTCTTGGAGCTGAATAAGAAATAATAAATTTTTGCCAGGCACAGTGGCTCACACCTGTAATCCTAGCACTCTGGGAGGCCGAGGCGGGAGGATCGTTTCAGTTCAGGAGTTCGAGATCAGCCTGAGCAAGAGCGAGACACCATCTTTACTAAAAATAGAAAGAAATTAGCTGGACAACAAATATATAGAAAAAATCAGCCGGGCATGGTGGTGCGTGCCTGTAGTCCCAGCTACTCAGGAGGCTGAGGCAGGAGGATTGCTTGAGCCCAGGAGTGTGAGGTTGCTGTGAGCTAGGCTGACGCTATGGCACTCTAGCCTGGGCAACAGAGCGAGACTCTGTCTCAAAATAATAATAATAATAAATTTTGAGCAGGACATGTATCAATTTCCATGTTACCTGAATGATGATTTCATAGATCAGTCATTACCCTGCCCCCAAATAAGCTCTATCTTAGTAACTGTAAGTCTATACCAGTTGTTATCGTGGCATTTTGTTTCGTGTTTCTAGAGCACCTGCCGCTGAATGTGTTGCATTTTTTGCATATTATTTGTCATCTCACAAGACTGTATGGTCCACGTGGTTCAGGATTCCTGTCAGTTGACTCCATTTCCCTGGACTGTCAGCCTCACCCTTCCTCCTGTACAGGTGGGGGCAGATAGTGCCTTGCTGAAATAGAATGTGTGGGATGTTTTAGGGCTCAGTGGCCTTTGAGGAAGTGGCTGTGAACTTCACCCCAGAAGAGTGGGCTCTGCTCGATCGCGCTCAGAGGACACTCTATCGAGAGGTGATGCTGGAGACCTTCAGGAACCTGGCCTCTTTGGGTAAGGATGACACCGTCCCTTCGCTGTATCTCTAGAGAGCAAATATATCTTGTCTTTTTAAAGTTTGAACTCAAAAATAAAAATATATTGGAAAAGAGACAGACATGATCCCAACCCTCATGACACATGGAGTCAAAAGACTTCTCTGTGAAAACAAAGTTGGTTTTTATTCATTTATTTTTGAGACAGGGTCTTGCTGGGTTGCTCAGGCTGGTCTTGAACTCATGGGCTCAAGCGATCCTCCCACCTCAGTCTCTTGAGTAGTTGGGATTATAGGCCTGAGCTACCACGCCCAGCTGATGAAAACAGAGTTTTGTGTATTATTGAAATTTTATTTTTCTTGATCACCAGACTTGAGGGGCCCTATGTTTTGTAAGTGTGAACATCGTCTCCAGTGTCACATTGGGGCAATGAAAGCAGCTTTGTGGGTTCATCCCTGTGACAGTGACTCTGTGATTAATCCATATTTGACATGGTAGTTTTGCTGCAATTATACCCACACTTAATCATCATCAGTGGTCTAGAAGACCAAAGTATTGGCCTGTCTTGTGGAAGTGTTTGTTAATCTCATCATGTAATTTTCTTTGTGAGTGTATGGCAGTCACATACAGCCATCTCATCTCCCAAGGACAGCTGGGGACAGTGCAGAAATGTTTCACATAGGGCCTCTGTTTGCGAGTGCCTTGAGAGGAATAGGTTTTGGATAAGGAGATTCTATTTGGACCTGTCTGTTAGAAACATAGATCATTCTTTGTTTAAGAAGGGAGAAGTTTGTCCTCTCGGCTGCTTTGTTTGACATTTTTTCCATCCTTCTTTGGGGAAGACCTTCTGTATTTCCTCTTATAGAGATAGCATTTGAGCATGTGCATTTTGCTCCCTCCCTCCCTCCCTACTTTGCTTTTCTGATAATATTCTACTTAACAACACCCTCCATCTGTTTGGAAGTGGTTCTTAGTAAATAGGCTGTCATTCTGATGCATTCTTTACTATTGCCGAAGTCCCATATAGATGAGGTCCTCAGAGTCTCACATTGGTGGCATGTCTGTTCTTATAAAATGTGGTTACAATTGTGGATCAGTACATGAAAAGAAATCCACATGTGGTCTACTTTCTTTCTTCTATCCTACAATTTTCCCCCCAAGGAATTAAATTATGTCACTAATTGTTACAGATTGTTGCATTTATGTTAGAACCAATGGATCAAGTCCTTGGCGGCATATTTTTGGGAATGAAGTAACCAATGGTGAGAAAATTATAAAATTCACAGGAAATGATTCCAGGTCTATTTTTGGAGAAAACTGGAGACTTCATAACATTGAGGATCAGCACCAAATCCCAGAGAGGCATTTGAGGTGAGTGGTACTCAACCAGAGGAATGAGTATCTCAGCAAGTATAAGACTAACTTGAAATTAAAGAACAAGTGTATTTGAGAGGCCAAGATGGCCTCTCAAATTACTTGAGGCCAAGAGTTTGAGATCAGCCTGGGGAATATAGCAAGACCCCATCTTTACAAACAATTTTAAAATTAGTTGGGCATGGTGGTGTGCATCTGTAGTCCCAGCTACTCAGGAGGCTGAGGTAGGAGGATGGCTTTCACCCAAGAGTTGGAGGCTGCAGCGAGCTATGTGATGATGCCACTGTGGTTGAGCCTGGGTGATGGAGCAAGACTCTATCTCTTAAAAAAAAAAAAAAAAAAAGCCAAAAAGAATAAGTATAAACCTAGCTAAACAATTATTTACTCAGGGAGTTTTCATAGGATAATATTTTCATAAATTTGATGTTGATGTTAAGTATCTGAAATATAATCAATTGCAAACAATATCCAGAAACCCCATATGTATGACACTGTGACAATTCTGGCTATAGTTGAGCCTCCATCCAGAGCCTTAAGATTGTTCCACTTAGAGATAATGTTGATGATGTTGAAAATATACTCATTCAGTGAAAATGGCTAATCATTAATGACTAACAGTGTGCTTACTATTTTAAACAGAAGCCAGTTGGTGGAGAGCCTCTGTGAAAGCAATGAAAGTCATAAATGTGGAGAAACATTGAGCCAGATTGAAAACTTTACTGTGCACAAGAGTTATCCTATGGAAGTTAAGCCCAATGAATGTACTAAATGTGGCAAAGCCTTCAAGAATCAGCAAAAGTCTCACACTGGACAGAGACCGTATCACTGTGAGGCATGTGGGCAAGTCTGTGGTTGTCTTTTGTGCCGAAGCCCTCATGTGGAAACTCACGTTGTGGAGAAACCTTATAAATGTCAGGACTCCGGGAGAGTATCTAAGAAATACGTGAAAAATGTCAGCAGTAAAAAATCTTTTGAATGCAAGAAATGTGGAAAGGCTTTCACTTGTCCCTCTTCTTTTAGGGGACATGTGAGAGGTCACTGTGGACAGAAAACACACACATGTAAAGTATGTGGGAAAACATTCATGTATCACTCCTACCTTACACGACACATAAGAACTCATACTGGAGAGAAACCCTATGAATGTAAGGAATGTGGGAAGGCCTTCAGTTGTCCTTCATACTTTCAAGAACACGTTAGAACACACACTGGAGAGAAACCATATGAATGTAAGCATTGCAGAAAACCATTCAACTGTTACTCATCTTTTAGAGATCATGTGAGAACGCACACTGGAGAGAAACCCTATCAATGTAAGCATTGTGAAAAAGCCTTCACTTGTTACTCATCTCTTCGAGAACATGGGAGAACACACAGTGGAGAGAAACCTTACGAATGTAAGCAGTGTGGCAAAACCTTCAGGTATCCCTCATCCCTGCGAGCACACGGGAGAATGCACACTGGAGAGAAACCTTACATGTGTAAGCAGTGTGGGAAAGCCTTTGGTTGTGCCACTTACCTTAGAAGGCATGTGAAAACACACAGTGCAGTGAAACCCTATGAGTGTAAGGAGTGTGGCAAGGCCTACAGATTTTCCTCATCCCTTCGAATACATGTCAGAACACACACTGGAGAGAAACCCTTTGAATGTAAGCATTGTGGGAAAGCCTTCGGTTGTCACTCCTCCCTTCAAGAACACATAAGAACGCATAGTGGAGAGAAACCTTATGAATGTAAGCAATGTGGGAAAGCCTTTAGCCATTCTCAGTATTTTAAAAAACACGTGAAATCGCACAGTGGAGTAAGACCCTATGAATGTACGCAGTGTGGGAAAGCGTACAGTTGTTCCTCATCCCTTCGAGTGCACGTGAGAACACACACTGGCGAGAGACCATATGACTGCAAGCACTGTGGGAAAGCCTTCAGGTATCTTTCATCCCTTCAAGCACATGTTAGAACACATACTGGAGAGTAACTCTAAGAATATAACGAATGTGTGAAAGTGTTCATTCAACCTTAAAACCTTGTTGTAAATGCAAAAAGAAAACAAAAAACCCACACTGGTAAGAAACCTTATATATGTAGAGAATGTGAGAAAACTTTCTGGTAGAGTACTTATTTTGTATAAGAAAACTCAGAGTAGGAGAGAAATCTCTTGATTTTTATTGTGATATCACCGTTTAAGTGTCTCAGCCTTAATAGTGACTCCTAGGATATTAATTTTTAGATCATGTTTGGGATATAAACAATAAATACCCTGTTTTGTACCCTTTTGGCTATTTTTTGTTATATAGAACTTTAAATAATTGTATTATTCAAAACCTTTCTTATTTATGTTACGATGTCTTTTGGACCCAGAGGTGTAAAGTGTTTTTTTCTTTTCCTGTACAAGTTGACGTGATTCTAGATGAAATGTTTCCTGATTTTTACTTTCTATTATGTCTCCAGTGTGTGATCACGATGAGACTTTGGTGTTGAAAATTTTTTCCAGTCCACAGTTGCAGGTACTGGAATTTGCTGTTACACTATGCACCCCTTCAGTCCTTATTATTAGAAGATGTACCTTCCACATTTGTTTGTTGCTAGTGGATACCACATGCATATAATTCACAGAAATTAGTACTTGTAGAAGGCTCTTGAAAGAGGTCATTATCAACTGATACGGTCATATTTCACATTTTTGCTCGTTGTCCTTAATCTTGGTTGGAAATTGGACACCCAGCATTTAGAAAAGAAACCTGACATAAAGATGAAAATTAGTGTACAGATGATTCTCTTTAATTGTGTTGTCAACCTTAATAACCTGGGAAACCATATATCCTAGAGCCCTTTCTGTTTATGGTTCTGAGTTAAAGTTCATGAGAAGAGGAAGAAACATGAGTTATGGGAAGAAGCCATTATTCTCAGTTCTTCATTATTATCAGGAAACAGAGACATCATAACCTCGTGGGCTTAGGTTACAACACATTATTCTGACTTCTGGCTCTGGTAGACTAGAAAAGCCCCAAAGCAAACAACATGCTTGACTTTAGTTTCTTCTTAGCACACTCTGCAGACTTTCCCACAAGATTCCCCATCGTGGACCCTCTTTGCTACTCAGGCCCACACAGATCCCTTGATTTCACTGTAGCTCTGTGGGTGTCATCAGGCTATTTCTGGCTGTTGCATTTAGTGATCTCTCATCCTGTGAACCCCTTTATTTCCAACTCTTCTCATATTTACATCATGTCTGTAGCCATCATCTTGTTCCTTAATGGTAGCTTTGCTTCCTGACTCCACCCTGGCAGATTTACTGTTGCAGCCCCAAATGCCAAAAACTTAAGTCCCTGTTTACATTGTTGAGAAGTGGCAGTGACTATGGAAGCTGCCATTTTATTTCCAACAGGTTATGATTACCATTGTCTGTGGCCCTGGAGTTTATTGTTCATTGAGCTACACGATCTTCCCTATGACCTCCCAGAAAGCTTAAAGAGCTTATGTGAAATAGATTGATGTTCTTTCTCTGGTGTCACAGTTGTGTCCATACCTGTTTCACCATGTAAAAAAAAAAAAATTCCTTAGAACATGAGAAGCTTCAAATCCATTTTGGGTATGTAGACATTTTCATCCAATTAGACAATGCCAATGGTGGGACAAAATTTTGTGATACAGGACTCAACATCTTCATTGCCCACAGTAACTAAAACTTATCCCAGTATAATTACTTTTCAGGTCCTACTCATGATGTCTTGAAATGAGTATATGAAAGAACCTAGTTCTTTGAACTTCTCTGTGAAAGACATTGTAGAGCAATTTCCATAATTCATCTAAATGCTGTAGCACCTTATATGACAGGTAGCACAGTCCCCTTCTACAGTTGGGAAACTGAAGTTAAGAGGAGTAAATTCAACTAATCCAAGATAGTAGACATTATTCATATGTTAGCCTGATTTCAACCCAGGTTTTGGGAAGTAACACTACATGCACAGATTACATCTCGTCTTAAAGCATCAAGGTGTTCCTGGCATTTCATTTACCACATTAATATGAGGATAATATCTATTTGTTTGTTTTAATATGTAACAGTTTACCACACATATGTTATTTGATCTTCACAGAATGGACATTATAGATATTTTAGCTTTTTTCACACTTTAGACTTAGGAAAGTGATTCTCCAGCTTGCATATCAATGAGAATATTTCAAAGGTACACCGCAATCTGCAGTGTTTTGCTCTACTTGCTGAGCCCTGCTCCAGAGCTAGGTCTCCATCTTCTCCCGGGGTTAGACATTTCTGGTCTCAAGCCCAAGCGGCTGGGCTGGGCGGGGCCTCTGCGGTCAGATGTCTGACGTGGTCTGACGTGCGTCTGACGTCACGCTCTCGTCTTGTCTGAGACTGAGGCACAGAGCCTGGGACCTCACGGCCCAGGCCCGCCCGACCTCGCAGGCCCCGAGGCTATCCGATCCACCCTGGCCCCTCCTGCCCAGACAAGGACGCTGGGTGGGGAAATTGAGTCTGGAGTTCCCACACGCGTCCAGGAGGAGGACGCGGGAAGGGCAGCGCCAGGCCCAGATGCGAAGGCCCCCGGTTGGGCGGGGTCACACATGGGTGTTCTCAAGGGGCCTGTCGCTCAGGCTGCAGGGGGCGGATCGTAGAGAACTATCCAATCTGGTTAGTAAGTCTGGAGGAACTGCCCAATCAAGGGCGCCAGACTTGGAAACTCTCCAATCAGGGGCACTGACCTCGGCAGCATCTTCCAATCAGGGGCACCGCGGCCCGAGCTCAGTCCAATCAGGCCATGAAGGCGGGCCATCGCGGGTCTCGCAGCTCCCGTGGCGCAACGGCCCAGACATTTCCGTTTCCGGTGTCCTCACCTGCGTGCGCAGGCTGTAGCGCCGCTGGGAGCCTAGGAGCGGCCCCGGGACACGGTGAGTGCGCGGGCTTGGAGCAGAGCCGGGGAGGGGGCAGTGCAAAGCAGCCTGAGCCGGCGGGACCCGGTATCCGCCCCTGAGTCCCAGCCGGGGCTGAGGGACGCTGGCAATCCCTCACCCGACGAGGGAGGACGCGCTCCTGGGCCTACGTGCGACGTCCTCACAGCGCCGAGGGGTCAGGGAGCAGTTTGAGGGGACAAACCGGAGTTGAGGGGTGACCTGCCCTGGGGCCTGACGGGTGTGTGCCACTGTAGACTAATAATTTTTATGAAGGCCTCAGTTTTCAGTAAATGTAAAATTATGAATCCTTTAGGCCTAAATTTTGTTCGACGTAGTGAGAATAATAACTTTCTCAGATTTCTTTATCTTGTTGCTGACTACTGTTACTCAGGAACTTACCCTGAAAGCGCTGCTGTGAAAAAGTGTCGCAGTAATAGTGTTTCTTCCGTTGAGGTAAAGAAATTGACGCAGTTGCACACTTAAAAGTGAGGTGGATGAAGAGATGGGTTTTAAGTTCATATACATCGTTGTCACTCTTGTTTGCAGAGTTTGTGACAATGTGTGATCCTGTTGTGTTTCCTGTTAGTGTCTGAGCATCAGATTAATGCAAATTCTGGAAAATGTGACCCATAAAACCGAGGAGTGTTCAATTCTGATTAATTGACACACAACTTGTAATCGTTGCTCTTTTAGCACATTAACTGCCACACTAGAAGAAGTTTTTTCTCTGGGGCCACGGTGTTTTATTAAAACAAAATGATCCTTTCTAATTTGTTTTTTGTTGCTTTCTGTGCGTGAGTCATATGCAACGCAATGCACGTATTTAGAATTAAATTGTCAATTGTAATAATGAGAACATCAACAAGTAAGATTTTCACAAACCACCTGTAGGGTTTTTCTTTAAGAGACTCCAAGCTCCAAATTAGCATGAGTTAGATATAACTCACGTGGCAGTCAGTGTGTTAAGGAAAGTGCTCTATACCGTTTTGTCTTCAAACCATTTTTCCTGACAGCTTCACATCCTCAAAAAATGAAGGGCTTTGTGAAATGCTGGCAAGCAGAAAGGAACAAACATGGCTTCTTACTTGTGCTACTTGTTTTGTTTCTCGAACACACAATGAAATTAGTGGTTTTCCTATAGTCTCATTCCAATACTGGGATTGGAAGTCTTTGAGTAATTTAAAATTTCTGTGATGCTGTGAAGCCAGTGTAGCACCTGGGATCTAGGGGAAGGGTTTGAGGCAAGTGAATCCAGCTGAGTCTACCGTGGAGCCTGCAGAGGCGGCTGATACAGGTGCAAGTTGGGTTGAGGAGCCTCTCCCCGTGCAGGGGCCTCCAGCCAGAGCAGCCACGGCAGGAGCTGATTATGCTGGGAGGCCTCATGGAGGCTTGGAAGGGGAGCTATCCTGGTGCACACGCACTTGGGGGTGTTTTGACCTAACTGAGGTTGTACTTGTGGTGGCCTTGGGGATGCCTCCTGCTGGTTTAGTTTGGGTATGCCCAGAGTTGGCGCAGAGCGTAATTTGTGCAAACTGAGACAATCTGTGAAAATCAGACTTAAGAATAGGTTCTTTGGGTTCCACTGCTGTTGAAAGAGTTTATGAATCGGAGAATTTATTTGGGTGAGAACTTAAACTCACTCCAGCTGAGAGTTTCCGGGGTGGTGAGACTTGAGGTCTTGGAGGAGGAAGCATTGCATGGCTACGCTGTGAGGAGCGGGAGGAAACTGTGGAGACAACCAGAGATAAGTCCCCTGGGTTCTCAGGTTTCCCTCCTTCCCTAGGAGTAGCCCCCAGGGTATATCTCTGCATTACCTAACTATACTTGTCTTTTAGAGTTCTAAAAGAGTTTTTTAAATTTTTTTTTTATTTTTAGACAGAGTCTCATTCTGTTGCCCAGCTAGAGTGCAGTGGTGTCATCGTAGCTCACTGCAACCTCAAACTCCTGGGCTCAAGCGATCCTCCTGCCTCAGCCTCCCGAGTAGCTGGGACTACAGGCACATATCACTATGACTGGCTAATTTTTCTTTTCTTTCTTTCTTTCTTTTTTTTTTTTTTTTTTGAGAGATGGGGTCTCCCTCTTGCTCAGGCTGGTCTCAAACTCCTGGCCTCTAGCAATCCTCCCACCTTGGCCTCCCAGAGTGCTAGGATTACAGGCATGAACCACCACACCCAGCTAGAGTTCTGAGCTTAAAACTTTTAGTACAAGGGGTGGCACATAATAGGCCTTCAAAACTGAGGGATTACATTATTACGATTACACTGAGATATGTAAGCCTAGGTTAAGATTCTGTGCCTTCTGCTATTTTTATCCCCCATGTCAGATGGGTAATGTGCCTTTGAGGAAGTCACCTCTTAGATGACTGTGAAAACCCAGTCATGGTTAAAAACTACAAAAGGATTCTCTCTTTCTTAACTTTCTTCATTTGTATGATGGGAGGGAAGACGGGGACAGGAGAGGAAATGAGATGATAATCAAATCACATTCTTCTCTGCAGTACTTAACACTGAGAAATGGACAAAATTTTATTTGCTTTCCTCATTAACAAAACACAAAGCTATTACATTTTTGTTTCCCCTAAATTTGGTGGCAGTCTAAACACATAAAAAAGCAAAGTTTTATTTATTTATTTTTAAAATTTTTTTGAGATAGTGTCTCTGTTGCCTGGGCTAGAGTGCCGTGGCGTTAGCCTAGCTCACAGCAACCTCAAACTCCTGAGCTCAAGCAATCCTACTCCCTCAGCCTCCCAAGTAGCTGGGACTACAGGCATGCACCACCATGCTTGGCTAATTTTTTCTATACATTTTTAGTTGTGCAGCTAATTTTTTTCTATTTTTAGTAGAGACAGGATCTCACTCTTGCTCAGGCTCGTCTTGAACTCTTGAGCTCAAATGATCCACCTTGGCCTCCCAGAGTGCTAGGATTGCAGGCGGGAGCCACCATGCCTGCCTCAAAGTATTTTGGGAGGGCTTTGCAGATCACTAAAACAAAAAGCTTCCAAGAGCTGAGGGCAGAATCCACAAGTTAGCAATGCAGCTTAGTCTCTGTATCAGATGACCCATCTGCCATTTACGAAATTTCGAAAATTTAACATTTCATGTCAATTTTTAACATCCATTCAGACGCAAGAGCCAGAGAATACAAAGGCTTTTAATAAAATCCCCACTGCCCTTTTTAACTATTACAAATGTACTCAGACCACTAGCAGTAAATGCAGCATTAACATTATGGCTGCCAAGGAGCATCCCGGTTGGAATGCAGGAGAGGCTGGGGAGCAGCAGGAGCTAGGTTAAAATGCAGCTCACAGTGCACTGAGAAGAGTTGTAAGACACCCTGTGATCCACATCAGTGGGGGGCCTCTGATCAGTGATAGGACATTCAAACTTGTGATCATATATTGCAGAGCCTAAGAGTTTTAGCCAGCCGGGCGTGGTGGCTCACACCTGTAATCCTAGCACTCTGGGAGGCCGAGGTGGGTAGATCACTCGAGGTCAGGAGTTCAAAACCAGCCTGAGCAAGAGCCAGACCCCGTCTCTACTATAAATAGAAAGAAATTAATTGGCCAATTAATATATATAGAAAAAATTAGGCAGGCATGGTGGCACATGCCTGTAGTCCCAGCTACTTGGGAAGCTGAGGCAGTAGGATTGCTTGAGCCCAGGAGTTTGGGGTTGCTGTGAGCTAGGCTGATGCCATGGCACTCACTCTAGCCTGGGCAACAAAGCGAGACTCTGTCTAAAAGAAAAACAAAAAAAGAACTTTAGCCACTGCAGAAATTAAGCTGAAGCATATCTGTTTATTTTTATGGGGATTCAGAACTATTAACTCCGTGAATGCACAACTATGTATGTATGTATTGCTCCCCACTATTTACAAACACCCCTGAGTAGTTTCTCAGTTAATTTAGTACCCACTAGGTAGAAGAATATATAAATTAATGATGGCATCTTCACTAAGGCTGCTACTGTCTATAGGGAAAATACACAGAACATCCATACATTTCCTGTTATTTCACTTGCCATAGTTTACTTTCTTGCGAAGCCCTTATTTCCTTATAAAAACTTTGCCATTTATAAACTGTCTTTGTCCACAAAAATGTAAGAGCAAGGACTCTAAGAATTTGTTTTGTACTTCTATAGCTAGAACATACAGTGTCTTAATTAAATTGTGTACATCCTGAGACCAAAATGCTTGTTATATGAGGGATGCACAAAAATTAGCATCAAATAAAGAACATAGACTCTGTGTAGGAAAGGCTTGATTTGAACTTTGATCCTGTCTTTGTCCCTAACTCAGTTTGTGACCATTGGCAATTTACTTAAATGTGTAAGCCCCAGCATTTACCTTATAACGTTTGATGAATAACTGAACTTTAAAATTTTAACTGTTATTTCATAGAAAACAAAGCACAATCTGATACATACTAAGAAACATGTCAGTGTTTAGATAATGAGAAAGACCAAAAAGAAAAATAGTTATGTGATATCTATCCACTATCTACCACACCAGGTCAGTAAGAAAATTATGAAAGTACACTTCAAATCACCATGGGTTCAATAAACTTCAAGACAAAAAGACAAGTGGTTTTATTTCATTTAAATTTCTTAACTATTCAAATATATGTTCTGTAGCTAAAAGAAGATTTAGATAATTATTTCTTACATAAACATTTTCAAAAGAGCTGAAAATTCATTCATTACTTATGAGTCTACTTCATGAATGAAGTATTGACAAAGACAATACGATACTTACAACTTGTAAGATGTCTCTCCTGGTGTGAATTTTCTGGAGCACCATACATGAATTAACATGAGGTTTCCCCATACTACTGACAGTTACAGAATTTCTAGTGTGTGCCCTCACATGTTTTAGAAAGAATGACTTGACAACTAAGGGCTTTTGAATACTACATACATTCATAGGCCATTCATTCATGTGGCTCTGAAAGGATTAGGGCCACTTGAAGGATTTTTGGACACTGTTTACATTCATGAGGTTTCTCTCCAGTGTGCATTCTCACGTGTTTCTGTAAGGATGAGGACCAACTGAAGGCTTTTCCGCATTGCTTACATTCATAAGGTTTCTGCCTTGTGTGCGTTCTCACGTGGCCTTGAAATGATCTAGAAGAAGTGAAAGCCTTCCCACATTTTTCACATTTATAGAGTTGGTCTTCAGTGTGAATTCTCACATGTTCTCTAAATGTTGATGTCCAAGTGAAGGCTTTTCCACATTGCTTACATTCATAAGGATTCTCTCCAGTGTGAATTTGCACATGACCTTGAAAGGATTTGGGAGAACTGAATGCTTTCCCACATTGCGTACATTCATAGGGTTTTTCTCCAGAGTGAGTCTTTTCATGGCTTTGAAAAGATTGGCGATAACTGTTTTCCCACATTGTTTACATTTATAGGGATTCTCTCCAGTATGTGTTATCATGTGTCTTTGAAATGTTGAGGGATAAATGAATGCTCTCCCACATTGTTTACATTTATATGGCTTGTCTGTTTTGTGAGTTCTCACATGCCTAGTGAAACTTGAGATGTGATTGAAGGCTATCCTACACTGCTTGCATTTATAGCTTTTCTCTATTGTGTGAATCTTTATATGATGAGTGAGGGAGTAGGAATGGTGAAATGTTTTCCCACATGATTGACATTCATAAGGCTTTTTCCCAGTGTGTGTTATAATGTGTCTTTGAAAGACTGAGGGATAATTAAAGACTTTCTTACATTCCTTACATTTATAAGGCTTCTCACCAAAGTGAGTTTTCACATGCCTGGTAAAACTGGAGAACTGATTGAAGGCTACTTTACGTTGTTTGGATTCACAGGTTTTCTCTGAAGTGTGAATCTTTATGTGTTGAGTGAGAGAGTAAGAATGGTGAAATGTTTTCCCACATAATTTACATTCATAGGGCTTCTCTCCAGTGCCTGTTATGTGTCTTTGAAAGATGGAGGGATAAAGGCTTTCCCACATTTCTTACATTTATATGGCTTCTCTTCTGTGTGAGTTCTCACATGTCTAGTAAGACTGGAGAACTCAATGAAGACTTTCCCACAGTGCTTGCATTCATAGTTTTTCTTTGAAGTTTGAGTCCTGATATGTTGAGTAAAGGAGTAGAAGTGAGGAAAGGTTTTCCCACATAATTTACATCCATCAGGTTTCTCTCCAGTGTGAGGTCTTGCATGACTGTTTAGATGTGAGGGATAAATGCAGGCCTGCTTTCATTTCTGATCGTGATACGGTTTTTGTCCACAGTGAGATAAGAGAAGAAAGATGCATGAAAACTGTCCCACACTTGGTGTACTCATATGGTTTTTCTCCAGAAGAGAAGAAATTTTCTTGTACAGAGTAAGATTGGGCATGTGACTGAAGCATTGATTACCTTCATTATCTTTAAAGAGTCTGTTTACCATATTATTTCTGTTAAAAATGAGAAGCATTTTATTTATAGTATGTTCATTTACAATTTATTAATATGCATTAGTATTAGAACTACATTTCTAATTAAATTTCAGTATACATGAAGGTTTTTCTATTTTGAATTGTTTTAAAGAAGAATATGCTTGTTCAAGCATATTTATTACTACAGTATTTATGGGGTTTCTCTGTAATTATTTTTTTTGAGACAGAGTCTCACTCTATTGCCTGGGCTAGAGTGCCGTGGCATCAGCCTAGCTCCATGACAGAATTCTGTCTTGGAATATGCTTTCTCTTGTGAATGACACTCACCTCATATATGTCCCCTGGTTTTACCAATTTTTTTCTAAAATGTAGGCACAGGTATTTTCTGTTCCTTAGATATTTTTTCCCCATTCATATCCTGCTGAGAAACTGACCCACTGATTTTAAATTGACCTGAAACAAAAAAATGAACAAATCTCATAAGAAAGGAGACACATGAACAAAGAAACACAGACATGAAGAATATAGCATTTTGAACAGACACAATGTTCAGTATTTCAATGAAATTATCACAGTCACAGGTTTCAAACAAGAAACCTCTCTGTGATCCATAGTGACCAATGAGGCCTATACCTATCCTCATGATAATAAAGGAGCTTCAAATCCTTTAAACCAAGACAGAAGTAAAATCTGTTTATCATACATGGTTTCACTGTCACAGAATGATGATTCTAGGTCCATGATGGCTGTGACCATGTCTGTCTTATTTACCACTGTACTCCCTTTCCATATTTCAAAACTTGGAAAAGCATTAGAGCAAGACATACTTGTTCACTAAGTAACTAAGTGAGGCGATGATGTCACCCTTACCCACATGAGGCCAGGTTCCTGAAGGTTTCCAGCATCACATCTCTGTAGAGGTTCCTCTGGGCAGAATCCAGCAAAGCCCACTCCTCCAAGGTGAAGTCCACAGCCACATCCTTAAAGACCACTGAATCCTAAAAAATCCAACATGTGTGTGCAGGAGTATGTGTATGAATGTGAAAGCACTGGCAAACTGCACTCAATTCAGAAGAAATTCAAACAGGATTCTGTGATCTCCCAATATCTACTCTATGATTTTTTATTTTTTTGAGACAGAGTCTCACTCTGTTGCCTGGGCTAGAGTGCTGTGGTGTCAGCCTAGCTCACAGCAACCTCAAACTCCTGGGCTCAAGCGATCCCTCTGCTTCAGCCTCCTGAGCAGCTGGGACTACAGGCATGTGCCACCATGCCCGGCTAATTTTTTTTCTATTTTTGGTAGAGGTGGGATCTGATTACAGGCATGAGCCACTGCACCCAGCCTATGATATGATCTTGATGCTTAACTTCCTGATAAACTTAAAAGCACCACTAACATTCTGAACTCATGTCTACATTTTTATTGTGACTACTCATTTTATTCTCTTATCAGGAGGGTCAAGAGATAAATACTATACAAATTTCACTTGTATTTTGGACAAGCCCTTGATTGGCTAGGGGAAGAAAACTATAATACCTTGGAATACACTGCTTGATAAATATATCTTTGCATAGGTGAAGCCTTGGGCCATGACAGAGTTTATGCTAAAATATGACTAATAGCGGTGGCTCCCGCCTGTGATCCTAGCACTCTGGGAGGCCAAGGTGGGAGGATCGTTTGAGCTCAGGAGTTCAAAACCAGCAAGAGCAAGACCCCATCTCTACTAAAAACAGAAAGAAATCAATTGGCCAACTAAAAATATACAGAAAATATTAGCTGGGCATGGTGACTCGTGGTGGATGCCTGTAGTCCCAGCTACTTGGGAGGCTGAGGCAGAAGGACTGCTTGAGCCCAGGAGTTTAAGGTTGCTGTGAGCTAGGCTGATGCCACAGCACTCTAGCCCGGGCAACAGAATGTGACTCTCATTCATAAATAAGTAAATAATAAATATAAAAATAAACATTCATAAATAAATAAATGCCTGTTTTTGTCCACTTGGAGCCCTGAGCCACACTGTATCAGTTAGATCTCTGGAAAAGGTAGACACTGAATAGCTAAGGTCAGTCAGTAGGGCAATGTGGCTAACCCTCAACAAAACTCCTGGGTACCAAGGCATGGATGAAATCTGAGTAGTTAACATCTCATACGTGTTGTGATACATCATTGCTGAGTAAACCAACCTCTGTGCAACTCTGTCAGGAGAGAAGTAACTTGAAGTTTCAGCCTGGTTTTTCCTGGAGTCTTTCCCTTGTACCTTTTTCCATTGCTAATTTTTACATGTATCCTTTCACTGTAATACGCTGCTGAAAGAAAGTATTTGTGTGAAATATATAGTGAATACCTCATACCTGAGCATGTTTATAGGGACCCCAGACAGAGAAAACCATCGATTCCTGTGACAATAAAGAATTAGTGAACTTGAAGGTAGACTAACAGAAATCATACAATCTGAAGAACAGAATAAAGAATGATAAAAGAACAGAGCCTTAGAGAAATTAGGACACCATTAAGTGCACCAACACACATGTAATGGCACTAGAACAAGGAGAAGAGGGGGAAAGCAGAAAAAAACATCAAAGAAATAATGGCTGAAAGAATTCTAAATATATTGAAAAGCACCAACCTACACGTCCAAGAGTTCAATGAACTCCAAACAGGAAAATAACTAGGAGATCCACAGATATGGCATAGTAAAAATGGGAAAAGTCAAAGACAAGTAGAAAGTCTTGAAAGCAGCCAAAGAAAAATGACTTGTCACTTAAAAGGCATCTGCAATAATACTAAGAGCTGACTTCTCAGCAGAAGCAGTGGATGTCAGAAGGTAATGGGATAACATTCAGAGTGCTCAAAGAAATACTATCAATGCAAGAATTCTACATACAGAAAACTATCTTTTAGCACATTCATTGCCACGGTATAAAAAAATGTTTTTCCCTTAGGGCCATGGTGTTTTATTACAAAAATAGAATAAAAACTTGGAAAACAAAATGATCCTTTATAATTTAATTATAAATGTATTTTTAAAAATTGTTTTCTGTGTGTGAGTTATATGTTTCATGAAGCCCAGGGCTCAAAACTAGTGTGAGTTAAATACCACTCATGGCTGGGAGTGGTGGCTCACGCCTGTAATGCTAGCACTCTGGGAGGCCAAGGCGGGTGGATTGCTCAAGGTCAGGAGTTCAAAACCAGCCTGAGCAAGAGTGAGACCCCGTCTCTACTATAAATAGAAAGAAATTAATTGACCAACTAAATATATATAGAAAATATTATCCGGGCATGGTGGCGCATGCCTGTAGTCCCAGCTACTCGGGAGGCTGAGGCAGGAGGATTGCTTGAGCCCAGGAGTTTGAGGTTGCTGTGAGCTAGGCTAACGCCACGGCACTCACTCTAGCCTGGGCAACAAAGTGAGACTCTGTCTCAAAATACATACATACATACATACAACTCACATGACATTCAATGTTTAAAAATGAAGGCAAAATGAATGCAGTTTAAAAAAACCCAAAAGAATTTGCTGCCAGGAGAAGTACCTTTATAAAAAATGAAACAAACCTCAGTAAATTAAAAACAGAAATAATACAAACTGACCACTATGGAATGAAATTAGAAACCAATACAGAGAAAACATTTGGCAAATTCACAAATATGTGAATATTAACACACTCCTCCATAATAAATGGGCTGAAGAAGAAATCAAAAGGGAAATCAGAAAATAATCTGAAATGGATAGGAAATGAAGACATAATATACCAAAACTTATGTGAGGTAACTTAAGAGGTACTTGGAAGGAAATTAATACACCAGAGAAAAGTTTGTAAATCAATAACCTAATCTTCCCACCTCAAGACACTAGAAAAAGAAAACTAAACGTAAGGTAATCAGGAGGAAGAAATTAATATTACAGCAAATAATGAAATCGAGAAAATCAATAAAACCAAAGCTGATTCTTTGAAAAAACTCAAAACTGATTTAGCTCAATTGACAAAGAAAAAAGAAACTCAAATTAGTGGAAGCAGAAATGAGTGAACATTACTACAAAACTTAAAAAAGGATTAAGAAATACAATGAACAATTACATGCCAACAAATTAGGTAACTTAGATGAAACATTATTCTCAGAAAGATCTAAACTACCAAATTGAATGTACCTACAATAAGTGAAGAGACTGAATTTAGTAATAAAAAATATACTAAAAGAGAAGCCCACAGCTAGTTGACTTGACCCCTGAATTCTATCAAAAATTTAAAGAAAATTGTTCACAGATGTTTACAAAAATCAGAGCAAGGAACAATTTCCAACTCACTTTACAAGACCATTATCCTGGTACCAAAACCAGACAAAGACATCACATGAAAACAACAGACCAATATTTATGGTTATGGATGCTAAAATCTTCAACAAAATACTAGTGAACCAAATCCAGTAACATATAAAAGAATTATACATTGTGACCATCTAGAATTTATCTCAGGAATGCAGTGTCAAATTTAACGTATATCTCATAAGGGACTTGGGTCCAGAATATATGAAGCATTCACAATTTAATAATGAAAAGAAAAACCCAATTAAAAAGGATGTGAATAGACATTTCTCCAGGGAAGACAAACAAATGGTCAGTAAGCACATGAAAAGATGCCCGACATCATTAGTCAGCAAGAAAATGCAAATCAAAACAACAAAGAGATACTAATTCCCACACACTAGGGTGATTAAAATAAAGAAAAATTGGAAAATAAGTTTTGGTAAGGACATGGAGAAACAGCAAATGTAGAAAACAGTTTCGCAGTTCCTCAAAACATTAAACGGATGATTTCTGATTCCCAGTCCAGCATGGAGCTTGGAAGTCACCTCTCCATTCTAACAAGTTAGAAGCTGAATAAACTGAAAAAAATCAACTCTTCTTAGATCCATCAGAGAACTGATGTCACAGAGCAAACTCTGTCCCCAAAGTTGGAGACAGATGGATATGCAGAATCACAACGTACCAGAACAGAAACCCATGAGCAAAAACCTCTGTGGGAACCAGTACTGGGTAGGAAAATCTGAACTATAATTGATGAATTGCTACAAGTGCACTATGGACAAGTCTGAGAGTTAGGAACCTCAGAGGGCCTGGTTTTAAGGCGGGGGCTGTGCCCATACTTTTGTCACTTTTACCTCCAGGAGCTCTACCAGGATCTCACATTGAAATTAAGAAAAAATCCCTTTGGGCTTCTGGCAGGTACAGGAGAAAAAGAATGATTTTGAAATAAGCTAAAGAATTTTGTTCCTAACAGGGCCTTCCCTCAAGAGAAATGATTTTATCAGAGCTTAATCTGTTGGGATTTTTATCAGAGTCTAACTGACCTGGGGGGAGAGAATTACCCAACTCCAGCTTCCTCTAACTATCTTGTCCCACCTAAATGGAAAGAGTAGGAAGAATTGAAAAGCACTTGTGAACTTCATAGTCCCCGGGCACAGGCTCACCAGAAGACTGAGACCTAATAGGATTATACAATGCTTCCCCTCTGACCACACCTTACCACCACATTACTAAAGTCCAGTTTACTCAGCTCCTTTCACCCAGTACATTGTTTCCAGCTTTGAACAAAAAATTACAAGGTATACTAAAATGCAAAAGACATAGAGCAAGCCTTAGAACCAGACCCAGATATGGCAGGGATGTTGGAATTATCAGACTGGGAAAATAAAACAGTTATGATTAATAGGTGAAGAGCGCTAATAGTAAAAGTAGACAACATGAAAGAACAGATAGGTAATATAACAGAAATGTAAATTCAAAGAAAAGAATAAAAAAATGCTGAAGATCAAAAAAATCAACAGAAATGGAGAATGACATTCATGGATTCAGTAGACTGGATGTGGCTGAAGAAAGACTTTTTGAGCCTGATATGTCAATAAAAACTTCTAAAACTGAAAAGCAGGCCGGGCGCGGTGGCTCACGCCTGTAACCCTAGCTCTCTGGGAGGCCGAGGCGGGCGGATCGCTTGAGGTAGG